AAGCCGAACGACAATACCCGACAGGGACACCTCGATCGAGCTCTACTGTTGAAGTACCCACATGGCAGAACACCCAGCTCACGATGGACAGTTCACGCCACGAGCGTAGGACCCTGATCTGGGTCATACGTCCGACATGCGGGCTCCACTCCGCACAATCGACGCATTTTGAAGTGTGTCGAACCATCAAAGGGGTCAAAAAGATATCTCCGCTCGAGCATAACAACTTATCAAAATGTTCATTACGAAAATAACAGTCAAACATACGCCTAGATACGAGCAGATAATTACAAAACAAACATCCATCGAAAAAAACAAGCATAAAACGGATTAATGGTGAACCGACCAAGAATGTCGGCGATGTTCAAATTTACAACCCATGGCACGACGACCAAAAGAAATCAAGAATAAACACGGGCGCACAGGCCCCGAAAACGAACACGGGCACGCAGGCCCCAAAACAAGTAAAATCAATATACGGGCACGTAGACCCAAATAAAAACTAGATGTTAAACATCCCCCGGATGACTGGCGTCCACATCAGGAGAATCGGGAGGAGGCACAACCTGGCCATCAATAATCTGAGACAGAAATCCGACTCCCTCGGTGTTCAGGCCCGGATTCAACACGGACAGCTGACTCATTGCAGTCTCGAACCCGTCGGCCAAGGAACCAACGCAATCTGACTCGAGGAGGTGGATGCGAGCAACCAAGTCTGAGCGTGTATGCAAAGAGGCTATCTCCTCTGGCTCATCATCAGCAGGAAGCATAGCATCTTTCAGCTCCTCAATCTCCCTGGACAACCGTTGGTTATCACTCTCCAGCCGTTCCTTGTCGAGCTGGAGGCAATCCCTCTCCTCAAAGGCCTTTTCGACCTTCTCCTTCTCCCCCGGCAGTAAGTCGTCCTGTTCACGGAACATCTCCTCGGACCGCTCGAGGGCCGCCTTCAACTTGCGAGATTTGGCCGGAAAGGCAGCCTTCTCCAATTCTAGCTCCCTAACACGGTCCATAGAATATGATCTTTCCCCTGCAAGGACCACAACCATCTCGGCCATCTTCACCACACCGACCATGCTAGCGGCGAGGTGTTTCCTCTGACCTTCCTTGTCGAGCCGCTTAATGATGTCGGCCTCGTTATCAAACACGGTCAGGGGAAACCCCTTGAAGAAACCCTTCTCCATAAAGCAAGGCGGTAAGCCAAAAGCCCGGGCAGCTACGGGCTCATCACCAGTTTCTGCTCCGCCCTCTGGCTGACCCCTCTTCCCGCTAACCAGCTCAGTCTGTCGCTCGGCGTCGGGAGAACCTGAGGACCCACTGGACGCGTCTCTACCCGAATCAACGGGCGGGCCCATCCGCGTGGCCTGCTGTGGTCTCACTAGTCTCTTACTTATCTTTTTATCCTGGGTCAACTTCAGCAACCTCTCTCGACGTTCCGCCATGTGACCTGCAAGAAGAGCGAACCAGGGTTAGCTACAAGAGATTAAAGGCAATTAAAATGGAATAATAATAAGAGCAAAAGCAAGAAACCTAGGAGATCTACGGCCTGCCCGTAGGATTGGCATTCAACGAGCGCCTTGGTATTGATAGGGCGCGCCTCGAACATCGGGTAGCCATCCTCATCGAGAATGTCGTCCCCTTCCCTCGTGACCCATCGAGCGGGGAAAAAGCCATCAACAAACTTACAAAGGACAACATAGGCCTCTTCATCCTCAACACTCATACTCCCCGCAGGGGTATGATAGTGCCCGGGACCATGGTCATAATGACCCAAGCACCAATGAATAGGGAACCTGGAAATCCGCCCGACTGCGGGACTACCCTCAGCATCCAAAATGGGCTCCCCGTCCTTGTCGACCACGGTGGCCGGCTCGAATAGAGACTCCAGGGCCGTCTGGGTGACCGGCTGCAGTATGTACCATTTGTCTTTAAAATCCCTCACCGAGTCCATATACATCCTAAATAGTCTCTTCGACTGCTTAAGGGATACCCAACTATGTTTGCCTCCTCGAGACTGGCGTTGCAGATGGAAAACCCTGAAGAACAGGGGAATCATCGCCCCAATTCTCAAGAAACGGCATGTTAGCTCGAACGCCCGGAGAAAGGCAATCGCGTTGGGGTGGAGCTGCGAGAGGGCCAGGTTCAGATGATTGAACACCCCGACCTAGAAGTCATTAAAAGGCAACCGAAGACCAAGATCCCTGAATACAATCTCATACATAGGGAACACATATTCAGTGAACTCCGAGCAGATGCGAGCATCACTCGTCGGCCTCATTATTTTAAAATTTCATTGAAATCCTTCCTGAGTACCGCCGTACTCGACGACATTATAAGCTCGTCTATTGCGATGGCTGTATGCCGAAGCAATTCCCCGAGGCTCAGTGCCCACCCAGTCCAGTGTGGGGTCGTCGACGGTGTCGACCAGGGTAACATTCTCTTCTGTTGTACTTGCTTCCTCGATGTCATTACGTTCCGAGGACTCCGGGTTATCGGCCATTTACCTGCAAAGTACAGGAAACCAGTGAATTCGACAGTAAATCCGCGTGCTCGCCACAAAGGCGGGGAGAAGTACGCAACACTCAGATTGAAACTATAGCCATTCGCGAAGGAAACAAGAAACAAGTGAATCTCAACCAAACACCGACACCCCAGTGCCAACCACGCATCAATCATGAATGGCACGAGCGTAACATGAGCGCCCCGTGCGAATCTTGAATCACGCGACCAAGTTCGTAACTTCGCTTACCCGATGCTAGAACACTGCGAGGAGACTACCCTACATGCTACCTAAAGGATGAATATCCCAGCCAAGTTCATGACTCTGCCGACCAAATGCATGAGTATCGCAGGAAAGATCATGAATCATATGCTTAAAACCTATGAACGTCTCGAGCACGACCATGAGTCAGGCGCCTAGCACGCTTAAATCTACCGGGCATAACTTCCAGATACAAGTTTCTATTATCAAAACGTCATCAAAGTTATGTACAACACAGGGAAGCAGGAAGAAAGGATACTTACTTGGAAGAAGATGCGTAGAAACAACGACGGTGGGAGTAATCGGACGGTGAACAGTGCGACAGTCTCAACGGCGTTACAGCAACCAACGAATATAAAAACAAAGAAGGTAGGAGGATCGTGAAGAGGTGAAACAGACTATGGGCCCAGGGATCCTATTTATAGAGATGACATGGAATGTGAAACATCGCACCGGGGAACCACGAACCGCCCCCGTCCTCGACACCTACTCACCTAGACAGTAATGGCCCTATTTACTAGGGCGGCGCTACGATTTCCAAGGACTATGCCACGTATCCGACGGACGCAGCTGACGCATCCCCGCGAGCGATCCTCGAGTACATCTTGAAAGGGAAAAGCCTTGAGTCGGGCACGAGGTCCCCGCGAGAGAACAAACTGAGATCAAGTCATAACTCTTGTGCCAGGAACAACGACCTGGGGGGCTCCTGTTCTGGACTGGGCCTGCCTTGGCCCAAAACACAAGTAAAGGCCCAGATCCAGGCAGTTCCTCGAGCCGTGCTCGGAATCAGACCACCCCGAGCATACCCAGTCACAGACCACAACGGTTATGCCCGCCGCTACCGCAACGAGCAACGTCCCCGACCAAGGGCACTCTAACTCGAGTCTTGCTCGAGCATCCTCCCCGTAGGGCAGACTTTGTCCCCTCCGAATGTTGTGGGATCCTTAAAGCTCCGGGAAGACCGCGTCTTCGTTCTTCCTCATTCTTCACAGAGCACCATCCAGGAAGGGGACCACGTGCCGGTCCCTACTACACACGTAGAACCTGGCAGTCCTTTTGTTGGGCCAGTTCTGATCGGCCCAATAAAGGGACCTTGGCCCAACGCTGAAGGCTATAAATACCCTTTACTTCAAGAGGGTCAAGTATTCATTCGTTACACACCTACATATTTCTTGCCTGCTCATTCCGTTTCTCATTTTATCATCGGAGTGTCTTGCAGGTATCCCCCATCTCATTCAAATCCAGTTCGAGCCAGCTGTGACAATTCAATTTTGATCCGATAAGATCAAATACTAATACTAATTGACTTGTTAAATTAGGAGTCTATTTTATTGAAAAGTATTTTTTATTTGGCCATCTTCTTTAATTAATGATTTAGTCAATTCACAATATTTTAATTCTTCTTTATTTTCTTTTTCCTATTGGTAAAAGATTTAACAAAAAGTTAAGCTATAAAGCGGATCTCAACTCACCAAAATTCAAGTTGATATCGAATACCGTGCAAAAAGTAATACTTTTTTTTTGTTTATTATTATAAATAATTTTTTTTTAAATTTATTGAATAATAAATATATTTGATTATACATTCATTATTTAATAAATTTTAAAAAAGATTTTTTGTTTATAATAATATCCGGAGGAAATATATTCTTCTCCCACTATTATAAAAAACCATATTAGTATCATTTTCAAAGTAAATAATTAAATATATTTTTGGTTCTTATAAATATTTTATATTTTATTTTTAGTTCTTATAAAAAAAATTTAATCTTATAAATTTTTTATGTATTAAGTTTTAGTTTATGTTATTTTTTAATTATATTTAAATTTTTAAATTTTTGAATAATTTTTTCATACATAATTAAAATACTAAAAAATATTTTTCTATTAAATTTTAGAATATTTCAAAATGAGAAGAATTAAAAATAATTTTTTTAAATTTCATAAAATAATGATACAAGTAATGAAAATCTAAATTTAGAAGTTAAATTTTAAATTTTCCTTTTTATTATGTTTTAAATATGTCTGTAAAATAGTCATTAAAAAATATACATAAATTTAATAGGAGTGATTAAAATTACCCGCATAAAATTTTTGTAAAGACTAAAACATTTAATTTTTTTTTGTAGGGACAAAAAATAAACTTTGATAATTTTATAGCTTTATACTATACACAAGAGAAAGTGAAGTACTACTAGGTCTCACTAACTGAGTTTTTGTTCAGAGCTTCCCAATCTCACTCATGGCACTCTTTAACGCTACCCACATTCCAACAACCTTCAATACCCTCCGAACCAATCCTCTCCCTTTTCCCTCTTCCCATTTTTCCTTCCTTTCTCTCTCTCACACCACCGCCGCCACCAACATGTCCCGACTTAGTTCCGCCGACTTCCAACTATCCACCATAACAGCTTTATCTCCATTAGACGGCCGTTATAGAGATAAAGTTCAAGACTTGGCTCCTATCATGGGTGAATATGGACTTAATTACTATAGGGTCATTGTTGAGGTACACCCATTTTTATTCTTCTATTTGTTTTGTTTTTTTTTTTTTAATATTCTTCTAATTTATGTTTGTGTTTATATTATTTAGATTAAATGGCTCATGAAGCTTTCTGAAATTAGTGAAATCACCGAAGTTCCTCCTTTTAGTGAAGATGCTAAGTCTTTCTTACAAGGTTTGATTGACCACTTTGGTGAAGCTGATGTTAATGAGATTAAAAGATTTGAGAAGATTACAAATCACGATGTTAAAGCTGTAGAGTATTTCTTGAAACTAAAGTGCCAATCAAATGCTGAAATTGCTAAGGTGCTTGAGTTTTTTCACTTTGCCTGCACATCTGAGGATATTAATAACCTTGCTCATGCCTTGATGTTGAAAGAAGCCATGGATTCTGTTATGTTTCCTGCCATGGATAAAATAATCAAAGCTTTGTGTACAATGGCCAAAGACAACGCCGATGTCTCCATGCTTTCTCGCACTCATGGACAGGTAAGCTGATTTTTGCATTACTGCAATATTTAAGAATCAATGAATTGTTGTGGATTTTGATATTGCAATTTTGTAAATAATGCCGACTCAGAGCAACTAGCTAGGTACTTTTGCTAGTTGTTTGTTTCTTTGTTTGTTATTGCTTGTATATTTTTGAACTTGATGATAGTTTTTCGGTGATATTCTTCAGCCAGCTTCACCAACAACTTTAGGGAAGGAAATGGCGATATTTGCTGTGAGGCTAAGCAGAGAAAGGAAGGAACTTTCTCAAGTTGAGATTTTGGGGAAATTTGCCGGTGCAGTTGGAAATTACAATGCACATCTTTCTGCATATCCTGATGTTAAGTGGCCTGTCATTGCCCAGGATTTTGTACGGTCTCTTGGATTATGTTTTAATCCTTATGTTGCCCAGGTTTGTTATCAATTCTTGTTCTATTCCACTTTAGTCTATTTTTTATACAATTAAAGAAACTAAATCTCGACGCTGTTAGCAGCAACAAAATGTTAAAGAATTCGTTAGTGTATATATGCATTGTTCTAGAATTCTTCATTTTTGTTAATGAAACTCTTTTATTTATGATAGTTATATCCTGAGTAGATATATATTTGAAGTTAGTACTACGAGATCAAAATAATTTGATTATATTACCCATCTTGATTGATAGATTGAAACTCATGACTACATGGCAAAGATTTTTCATTCATTCATCCAATTCAACAATATATTAATCGACTTTGATAGAGATGTATGGGGCTATATATCTTTGGGATACTTTAAGCAGGTGAGTTTTCTAATACATTGTCTATTGCCAAAGAACGGTGACTTTTAAAAAAAAAACATCAATCGGTTTTCATTTTCAAAACTTGTTTTGCAGACAACTAAGGCTGGGGAGATTGGGTCGTCCACTATGCCTCACAAAGTGAATCCCATTGATTTTGAGAACAGCGAAGGCAATTTAGGCGTGGCTAATGGAGGTTTTTCTCATCTAAGCATGAAGTTGCCGATTTCACGTTGGCAGGCAAGAATTTAATGTTCTTTCTTTTATTTGATCATTGTCATCATTATATATGGTACCAGCAAGATTTTACAATTAAGCATGAAGTTGCCTGCCAACGTTTTTCTCATCTAAGCATGAAGTTGCCGATTTCACGTTGGCAGGCAAGAATTTAATGTTCTTTCTTTTATTTGATCATTATATATGGTACCGGCAAGATTTTACAATTACATCTTTTGGAAAATGGTTAGCGTAATTTGTTTAGTCATGTGCGCATGTTTCAAAAGCATTATCTGAGCTATTAGTGTAATTTATGGCGGGTGATAGTCTAATTGTGTGAGTAGCTAATGCAAACAAAGTTCAAAACTAAATTGTTCTAAAAGAATTAAAAATAAAAAATCAATCTTTTTTAATTGAAATTAAACCGAAAATGGAGAACATAGTTCTTCCAATTCATGCTGGATTGCTCTCCTTTTACACAAAAACTATCCTATTACATATTCAGACTTCCCCTATTCATTGCTATGATCCCTTCTTAGTTCTAATTAGCAAAAATTGTCATTATTCTGTCCTAATGTTCCATTCTTACCGTACCTCATAGATGTAATAATTTTTAATTTGTGTTTTTTTTTTTTGCAGAGGGATTTGACTGATTCAACTGTCTTAAGGACCATGGGTGTCAATTTTGGTCATTCTCTTCTTGCATATAAAAGCACACTTCAAGGAATTGGGAAGCTTCAGGTATGCAATCCAACACGGAATATGTGTTACTTTTCTCTTAGATTCATTATATATAGATAGCATATTGTTTATCTGAGAATGATGTATGTACTAATTTGCAGTCACTGCCTATTTGCACAACTAAAGTGCGAGTTTATCACGTTTTCATATTTAATCTAGAGAAACAACCACATTCTTTTTGTTTATTCATTGAACTTCCTTGTAAATGTTATAACCCACAACTTAGGTCAACGAAGCTCGCTTGAGCGAAGATTTGAACCAGTGCTGGGAGGTACTTGCTGAACCAATACAAACGGTATGTATATGCTATTGTTTTTACGTGATCTGGAGAAAATTTTTTCAATGATATAGTTGGCAAATCTTTCTATAGGTTATGCGAAGATACAATGTTCCCGAGCCTTATGAGAAGTTAAAAGAGCTGACTAGAGGGAAAGCAATTACCAAAGAAAGCTTAAGAGACTTCATTGAAGGCTTAGATATTCCTCAAAATGCAAAGACCTATCTCTTAAAGTTAACGCCGCATACTTACGTTGGAACCGCCGTTGAACTGGCCAGAACTGTAGAACACGAAGTGAATAATATTTTGAATGGAGCAATCTAGGAAATAGGTTGTTTGAACCTGAAACAGTTTTATTGAGGTTTTGATTAGTTAGTGAGGTTACTTCATTGCTGCCGGTACGATTTTTTTGACCTGATTCTCGCCATTGATAATCATTATAAGGTTAGCAATTGTGATCATTAATATGAGAAACTAGAGTGATGCTGAAAGATTTGTGGATTTAATTTTATCTATGCATACGAATTTAATTCTTATGAATGCACAATTCTTTTAATTTATTTACCTTGACACTTTTGTTTAGTTCATACTCGTGTGATGTATTATTGGGACAATACAAGAAAGCTTCACCTCTTGGGACTAGTCTAAATTATCTTTAGCTTCCTCTTCTAAAGTTACAAATGTTTTCTTTTTCATTCTAAGCAAAATCAAATTTTATTTAGTCATTACAAAATTACGTGTGCATAGTTTTTTAACACAACCTTTAAAGTTTTCAATGTTTTAAAAACCCTTAAAGTTTTCAATGTTTTAGAACCATGTATAAAGATGAGCTTCATATTCATTTGGTGTTTCATCTTTTTGGATATGTTGATTCTCTCTTATTTGATCTTAGGAAAATATCAATAGATATTTTCAAGAGTTTTCCATATTTTCTTGGCAGAAGTACAATTTAAAACAAAAAGGTATCCTTAAAAACTGAATTTGACTTTTCTTTTATCATCTTTGCTCTAGAATTGACTTTTCTTTTATCATCTTTGCTCTAGAGATTATCTAGTTTATTCACTATTTTATTATTAATACAATGATTAGAAATAAACTTACCATTGATAACAAAATTTCACATTTCAAAATCATTTGTTTCAATAAAAATTTCTTTCTTACTTTTTATAATTCAAACCTTTCACCATCAAATAGTGGAGATTTATTTATGAAAAGATGTTAAAAATAAAAAATGTGTTTGTAGTCACCATTGTTCCTCTTAGGATGATTAGTCTCATAATAGGAGTTAGACTATGATGTCATTTGTTGGACAAGTAATCTCAACACGAAGGGAGAAGGGAGTGAATTAAATTGTAGAGGTTTGACAAACAATATCCAATTAAAGATTTTTTGATAAATGAAAGCGTTTAAAATAATTTAACTGAAGAACTAAGACAATTTTGTTAAAGAACCCCAACATCATAACAAACAAAAAATTCACTGATATTTTCGCTCACAAAACACTAAGAAAATTTAGTGAAAAAGACAGAAATAAAATGGAGAGAATAGATAGTGATAAAACATATATAAAAGTGAAGATAAATTCTAGTGTTTTTCTCTATTTATAGGAGAAAATGTTGGATAAAAAAGAGGGGAAAAAATCCATGAACCTTTAAATAAGCTAATCAATTAAGGTTAGTTATAAACTTCAAAAAGATGTCAACCCTAACTTAGAAAAAAAATCCTACAATTATTATGTGTCTAAATCAATTAAGAGTATTCTTAATCAATTAAGAAACCTTTTTTTCTTCCTCTAATTGATCATGTAAGTTCCCTAATAGATAAGACCGTGTATACAAACTTTTTAAATAATTATGATCACTCTTGGTCAATTCCATGAACAATTTGTTGGTTCCTTTATTTGTTTTAAGATATTTTAACAAATTTAGAGAGGTTTAAAATATTTTTATATGAGGTTATGTATTGCCTTAATAATTTAAGAATTACTTTAATATTTTTTACAATATTCTGACCACTCGGACGTAGACCAAACAAACTTTCACATTTCATCTCATTCAGAATCTTTGTATTAGTACATCTTTATAATATCTAATAAGTTGTATATCGCGTGTTCGTCCGTGACACATCATTATGATTCTAAACATATACTTATTAATTTTACCGGATCAGACTTGGACTGTCACAGCTGGCTCAAACTGAATTTGAGTGAGATGGGGGGAGGATACCTGCAAGACACTCCGATGCTAAAATGAGAGACGGAATGAGCAGGCAAAAAGTGTATAGGTGTGTAATAGATGAATACCTGACCCTCTGGAACAAAGGGTATTTATAGCCCTTAGCGCTGGGCCAATGTCCCCTCATTGGGCTGACCAGAACTGACCCAATAAAGGAACTGCCAGGTTCTACGAGCGTAGTGGGGCCCCGCACGTGGTCCCCTTCCTGGTGGTGCTCCGCGAAGAATAAGGAGGGACGAAGACGCGGTCTTTCCGGAGTTTAGAGGATTCGATAACGGTAAGAATGGACAGAATCTGCCCTACGGGGAGGGTGCTCGAGCAGGCCTCGAGCTGGAGTTCCCTTGGTCGGGGATACTACATATCACGGGAAATGGCGGGCGTAGTGGCTACCGTCTGTTGTCGGGCACGTCGGTGGTGACCCGCTGTTGAGCATTCCCACGAAGAGTCTGCTTGGATTGGGCCCTTATATGCGCTTTGGGCCAAGGTGGGCCCAGTCCAGAACAGGAGCCCCCTAAGTCGTTGCTCCTGGGACATGAGTTATGACTTGATTTCAGCTCGCCTTTACCATGGGGATCTGGTATGCAGACTCGCGTTTGCCTTTCTGATGCGCGCTCGAGGAGTTTCTCGCGGGCTGTGTTCCTCGGATACGCAGCGCAATCCTCGTCGACGCGTGCTCGAGGGATTCCGCGCGGGCTGTGCTTGTCGGATACGTGAGACAGTTCTTGGGAACTGTAACACCACCCTAGCAACAATAGGGTCATCATTGTCTAGGGGAATAGGTGTCGAGGACAGGGAAGTTCATGGCTCCCCGGTGCGACGTTTCATATTCCACGACATCCCTATAAATAGGATCCTTGGGCCCATAATTTGTTATTCTTCTTCGCGCTTCTCCTTCTTCCTCTGCTTCCGCCGCCGTCGTCTGCTACAACACCGTGAGATTACCGCACCATCCTCCGTTGACTACTCTCATCGCTGCCGTACATTCTTCTTTTCTTCCAAGTAAGTGTTCATTCCTCATGTCTTTCTCCGTTGTAGGTAGTTTTGACGTTATTTGGATGTTAGAAACCCACATCTGGGAGTAGTGCCCGATAGATTCATGATTGTGCCCGGTAAATCCATAGTTTTAGGTACGTGACTCGCAATGCTGCCCGTGACCTTCATAGTTTAGGCACATGATCTATGATACTGCCCGTGACACTCGTAGTTTTAGGCATATGATCTATGATACTGCCCGTCACATTCATAATTTTGGGCGGCGCACCCATGAGTTGTCCGGGATGTTGACCCCTTAGGAAGTATGTAGGATAGTTGTCGCAACATCTTAGTGTCGGGAAGGCGAAGTCAGGACCTTGCTCGAGTCCTCCATGTTTATCGCCCAGGGTGTTCATGTTATTCCCTTGTTGTTCCCGATGCCTGGTCGAGCTGGGGTGTCCGTGTTCGGCTTGTCGCGCGCTACTTCCCGTCACTGCGGCGAGCATGCGGATTTGCTCTCGAATTTCACCGGTTTCCTGTGCTTTGCAGGTAAATGGCCGACGAACCGGAATCTTCGAGGCAAAATGAAGTCGAGGACCAAAGTACCAAAGAGAATGTGACTTTAGTTGATACCGTCGATGACCCCTCGTTGGATTGGGTGGGCGCCGAGCCCCGAGGGATTGCCTCGGCGTAGTCGGCGCGTATATACTGTCGTCGAACACGACGGTAGTCAGCCAGGTTTCCAAAAGAATTTTGTTGTGACGAGGCCATCCATCGATGCATGAATCTGCTTGGAGTTTACCGAGTATGGGTTTCCTATGTACGAGATCGTGTTCAGGGATCTCGGTCTAAGGCTCCCTTTCAGCGATTTTCAAGTTGGGGTGTTCTGCCATCTGAACTTGGCCCCTTCGCAACTTCACCCTAATTCGATCGCCTTCCTTCGAGCGTTCGAGATGACATGCCGTTTCTTGAGGATCGAGGCGACAATTCCCCTTTTCTTCTGGGTTTTTCACCTGCAGCGTCAGTCTCGAGGAGGCGGGCATAGCTGGGTATCCCTGAAATAGTCGAAGAGTCTATTCAGGATGTATATGGATTCGGTCCGGGGCTTCAAGGATAAGTGGTACGTTCTGCAGCCGGTCACCCAGGCTGCCTTGGATTCCTTGTTCGAGGAGGAAACCGCGGTAGTTGATGAGGACGGGGAGCCCCTTATGGATGCTGAGGGTCGTCCGGAAGTAGGGCGCATATCCAAGTTCCCGATACATTGGTGCTCGGGCCATTACGACCATGGTACCGGGTACTATCATACGCCCGCGGGAAGCATGAGCGCCGAGGACGAAGAGGCCTATGCTATCCTTTGCAAATATGTCAACAGCTTTTTCCCCTCCCGGTGGGTCACGAGGGAGGGGGAAGATATTCTTGACGAGGAAGGGTACCCGACATTCGAGGCTCGTCCCATTGACACCAAGGCGCTCGTCGAGTTCCAATCTTACGGGCAGGCCGTAGATCTATTAGGTTTCTTGCCTTTGCTTTTATTATTGTTTTATTTCATTTTCGTTGTTTTTGCTTGCTTGCAACTAACCCAAGTGTTGCTCTACTTTGCAGGCGACATGGCTGAACGACGGGAGAGGCTGTTGAAAATGACTCAGGACAAGAAAGTAAACAAAAGGCTGGTGCGAGCTCCGCAAGCCACGAGGATGGGACCGCCGACCAGTTCGGGCGATGCCTCTAGCGGGTCCCCAGGCTCCCCTAACGTTGAACAGCCCACCGAGCTGATTACGAGAAAGAGAAGTCGGGCTGATAATAGGTCGGAGGTTGGAGGCGAGTCCGTAGCTGCGAGGGCCTTCGGTTTACCCCCCTAGTTTAAAGAGAAATATTTCTTCGAGGGGTTTCCTCTGACGGTGAGCAACGACGAGGCTGAGACTATCAGACGGCTCGACAAAGAAAGTCGGAGGAAGCACCTGGCCGCCAATATGGTCGGGATGGTGAAGATGGCCGAGATGGTCGTTGTCCTTGCCGAGGAAGGGTCGGAATCCTCGGACCGTGTCAGGGAGTTGGAGTCGGAGAAAGTTGTCCTTGCTGCCAGTTTTTGTAAGCTAAAGGCGGCCCTCGAGCAGTCCA